AGCAATATTGAGCCCAAAAGCTTTTAAAAAGACTTGAGCACCAATTTTCTCTCCCTCTCCCTCTAGGCCGAACCCGATTTCTTACCTTGCAATCCATTTTTCTCTGAAACCTCTTCACCCAAAAGCTCTCAAGAATCAAGCACTCAGGTAGATTGAGGTTCAATTATTCCAATCAAGCCAACAAGTAAGTGAAATTGCTAAGTTCAATGCTATAATGATATTCTTGCTTCTCGGTGAGTGAGTGAAGTCTAGGCATGGTAGCCTTCTAATTTCTCAGTTTGTTGAATTTATGTTAAAAATTGTCCTTGAATGAGTAATTAAGTCAATTTTGTTGTCTCTCGGCTCATTGGAGCTAGACATAGGTGAGGGATGGTCTTATGGCTCTCTGGCTGTCCCAGAAATTATGGAAATTGTGTTGTGTTAGTGAACTCTTAGTGCTTGGCTTGTTGGTTGAGGCTAGAAATGTTGTTGCCATAAGACGGTGCTAGATTTCTAGCCCCTGAGTCCACGATTGCATGCTGAATTGGAGTGAACCGTGTGGAGTCCATTTAGTATGGTGTGAAAGGCGTGCTGAAATTGGTAATTGCAAGCTGAAATATGTGATATTGTATGGTGACACTAATTTTCTAGCTTATGGTTTGGTGATTACATGTTGAATTGGGGTTGTCCGTGTGATGTAATGCAAGATAAAATGCATGAATTGTGTGAAAAGAAATGATGTTAAGAGATAACCATCGGATAGCGAACCGATGATGCCCCGAAGGAGTCGGGATGCCCAAGGACAGCGAACCAAGATGCCTCGGAGTGAGATGCCCATGGACAGTGAACCATTGAGGTCTGAATAGTGAACCGAAAGTAACCCGCGCAGACCAGACGACGAACCGGTGTAAATTCGCGAGTCGGGTGAGGAAAAGATCACATGAAAGTTTAAGAAACAAGGCATGTGAGTTTGTGTGTGCTTGTGTGGTTTTGTGTTCATGATGCATTCTTTGGTTCTTGCATTGATGGTCTTGTATTGTCCAATTCGGTCCACATGTGCTGAGTCAATGATTTTGAGTCTTTAGTTGTTCTTGTAGTTGTCTCAATAGTGTTAGTATTGAGTACCATATTTGTGTTGTCTTGGACGAACCTCATGACGGTGTGGTGGGCGGATCTTGTAGTGTAGAACTTAGTTACTTCGCTTGCTGGGCTTCAACTCATTCCTCTATTTTTCAAATAATTAGCATGGACGTTCCACCAATTGCATGTTACAAAGCGCCTATTTACTTTGAGGGCTCTCTTGAGGACGCGATCATCCTCGAGTCTATTATGACATTCATGTGGATGCCATTTACTTTGAGGGTCTCTTGAGATGAGATCATCCCTGAGTCTACTACAACATTCATGCGGTACAAAGCTACGGTTTGGGTAGATATAGGGCATCCAGAGTGGATTCTCATTTGGTTTGTGGCATGGTACATTAACCGTAACGGCGAACCACTCGGACCCCTTCGATTTGAGGATGACAACGACAATGAAAAGTAGATAGGCAGGTCACCGTGGGCTATGGAATTTTTTTTTTGTACAGACAGATCTTCTTTTGGTGAGACGAGGCAACTGGGTAGAGGAGTATAGGCATTTTTTAGCCCCTCCCAGGCGCTTGTTAATACTCTTTTGGTATATGGATATGTGAATGATAAGAATGTACTGAACCTTTTATATAAACATGAAATGAAAGTGATATGTTATGATACTTGCGCCTTGTCATGGAAAGTCGGGCATGTACGGTTGTGAATTGGCTTCGGTTTGCGTAATGAAAGGAAAGATTAAAAGAGCACGTATTAGTAATTGACGTTCTGGGGCGTCACATGAGGCATCATCGCCATTAATATGTGGGCAACAAAAATACTTTTCATATTTAATCACATAGTAACCATGCACATGATAACATTATAATCATATGATCACCCTTGCATCAACAACGAAATCAACGCTCATTTCAAGAATGAGCATCCAGAACACAACATCTTTTCATGCAAATCACTTTCGAAATACACTTACCTTGCCCTTTCAATGAATGCATAAGCAGGTGATGACATGTTTACCTCCTTTTATTTCTCATGTAAGCAATAATAACATATCCAGAGAATCGGCAATTGGGTAATATTGACTGGTGGGTAAATTCGGTAATTAGGTATACTTGGCAAGTGGGTATACTTGGCAGGTGGATATAACTAGTAGGTGAGTATAAGCGGCTGGTGAGAATAAGTGGCTAGCGAGTATAAGCAGCTGGTGAGTCAAGATTTACGAAAATAACCCTTTCAAGCCCAGTTTCATAATTTTCACATTTTTGACAACCAACATGTTACCACACCTCACGGAAATCAATCAAACGCCTTTTAGCCATGTAAGAACTCAACAAAACAAGTCAAATCATCACAATATCTCAACATACCATTCCTGAGATTTGCTTACACTTACTATCAAATCCAACTAAAACTAAAATTAACAAACATCAACCAATTAAGCAAAAATAATAAGTAGATCAATATAACTTAACCCCTATAGTTTTCACTTACCTTTAATAAAGACTTGGATAACTTAGGCGACCAAAGGCGACTACCGACTAGGCGAGTGGCAACCGGCGACCCTTATCGCAGCAGATCTTGTGGAGTGAAGATGAGCGAAGCTTAGGTGAGTTGCGCCTAGGTTGCGTGACCATTGGGTATTGCCCCTCGCTTGGAGTCGCTTCGTCTGGGTCGCACGACATCGGCATCACCGCCATTGGGTCACGTGAACCCGATCGAGGCAACCCCTGAGATCATGCGACCTTGGCGTCACAGCGCCTGGGTCGTGCAACAAAGGTATCACTACCCCTGGGTTGTGCGAAGGCGGGTCGTGCAAACTTGGGTGAGTTGACCCTTGGGATCGCGTGACCCCAGTGTTGCAATGCTTGGCGACGCTGTGAATTCGATCTGCAACACTAGGGGGATTGTAGGGGTTTTTTATATTTGGGGATTTGCAACGTCAGGACTTCATCAGTGACCATCTCATAGACCATCAGCATCTCCACATTTGCAACTTGGAGAAGACGAGTTGCTTATGAGGACAAAACCGAAAAATCGAAAAAAATTAGTGTGGGTAGTTTGGAAGAAAAAAATCATTAATCTTACGGGAATGGCCTCCGAAAATGCTGAAAGCTCGCCTTAGGTTTTCAACATTTCCAAAGCTAACCTTTCGGGGAAAGTGGGTGCAAAAAACTTTGCCACACACCCAAATTTTTCCCATAGGGGCTTTAGTGGCCCGAAGCCCCTTGGGAAAGCCATTCCCAAATGCATCCCCTGCGGCCTTCACGTGTTTTCCCCGTCTCTCTCTCAAAATCCCGAACACACACACCATCACTGGTCCTCCCCCCATTGCATATGCCTACCTGCTCCGAGCCACCGCCTTCGCCCTTCGCCGTCTTCTGCCTGTCGCTACAGCTGCCCAGAGCGGCCGCAGTCGATCACCACCACGATGAAATAACGCTACCATCAGCAACATCGGGGCGAACATCACCTTAGTCAACCACCACGCGCTCAACCAGGACTACCGAACCCCACTAGCGGAACCAAACTCATCCACCACTACCATAAGCATCACCAGACCTGGCCTCCGCCGCCACCACACCCATCCACCATAACCCAACTCGTCCAAGCAACACCACAAATAGACAAACTCCAATTTGAGGTTGGGGCCCCAAGTCTGAACGTGAGACCTTGGAAGCAAATGAGAGATTACATAGTTTGACCTTATAATATAGAAGATTTAAATCAAGGTTTATCTACTGCAGAACGGGTAGAGATTCTTCAGAAACGATCTCAAATAGCAGGTGGAAGAAGTTGTTGGATGGATTTTAGTCTTGTTCGTCCCCTTGTACACTAGCTTACTTAATACACGAAGCCACCAAACTTTTGGAAAAATTCCACGTTATCTACTTACTTTTGGATTATTAAAAGTGAGGTGTTTAGACAGGTTCAAGGTTTAACCGGAGAAGTTAGTCCTTTTGTTAGGTTCAATCATTGTATTTCTTTTTTAAGTTTTTAGCTTATGATGTTTACTGTTCACCTAAATATTCCTTGACTTGCAGGAATTTGGTAAAGAATAGGATGTCCACCTTTGTTCGACAATAAAAAATTTCTTGAGGTTGTATTGGTGGGATTTGCAAATAAAACACGGTCATTTTTCAAAAGTATTATTCACGCTCCAAAATGATTATTATTTTTCGGTACGTTCTCAAAGTAAGAGTACTTTATCAGTAGACGTCATTAAATATTCTAATTATGCAAAGTGAAGTGGCTTATAATTGTAGTTTTGTGGTCTAAATATGCCTATAAGTATAGTAATATATTTTGTAAAATCGAGTCTACATAAGAGGACTACACGTCGATAATATCTGCAAGAGTGTAGACTACAACTACGAATTTTAATGCATAACATATCCCTATTCGGTTGATCAACCGTGTGCCTCCTTTATTCCTTTGGGAATTTACGTAATGACATCCTTGTTAATCTCAACTAACATGAACTAACAAGATAACTATCAAATCATCTCATCTTTTGGGGTCTCTTTTCCTTCGTTTGGACATGATTTTAGGAAGATCGCTCTACTTTACCCGAGAATCTACTGAAGTTTACACATTATAAATGGGTCCTGTTACATTAGTTCAGAGTTCGGACAACATTGCGGCAACAAATGAAGGGAAACGCTAGGTAATAAGCTAAGAGGGACCCATGATGTGAAGATATTGAACGATTTAATAAACTCGTAATGAGGATTGAATATCATCCACTTGCTTAATATCAACCTACGGTCCATTACATTATTTAACACATAAACTTTGCAGTTGCTTATCTACACATTATTTAACACATCAATTTCCCTTTTGAATAATTAATATTTTCGTGCCTTGACGAAGATGGACTTTTATCAGGTATATATGTTAGAGAGACCAGCATTCGGAACTCGTACGTACATAGAAACCTCCCTCTTCTTCTTTCATCTCTGGTTGGTTTCTGTCTTAACACTCTCTCGGCTTTCATAATATTTCATCACTCTCTCCTGGGTTCTCTCTCTCATTCCCGACATGGGAGAACAAGCTCATCATCATCCTCAGGAACTGCAGCTCCACATCGCGGGTAAGTCCAATTCTCTTAGAGCTTCGAGTATCTGAATTATTTGAGTTTTGGAATGGAATTCAATACATTAAATTATTAGAAGCAAAAATGATGAATCAAATTGAGATGGGAACAAAAGAAGGGGGAAGAACAACCACCATGCGTATATTCACTTCTCTCGCCGCTACTGTGTTTTGTCTTGTTTTGCAAAATATATGTATATATGTGTGTTGAAGATCCAGATGGTTAAATTCTTCATGTGAAAGAGCTAAACCTTTTAACATCACGAGCTCCTACTCGGGGATTTTTGATGAATCCTGGGACTTTTAACTTCTGCTTCTTCGCCTGGACAAGCGAGAATACAAAAGCGCCTTTCTTGATCTGAACTTTTCGTCATCCTTCAATGCAACCGATCTGAAGCTGTTAGGCATCGGTCTTAGGTAGGCGGTCCAATGAATCGCCTTTGTTTTAATTCTTATCTTGGTATTTATGCCACTTTCTTATCAATAGTCGATATTCTGTATGAACTTCTGAGCAAATGATCTTGACCAAACTCAACGTCTATATCAGTTCAAGAAATCTAAGCGTGACGCATTATGCTTAAACTAGTGGTGGTGACTAAAAGTTAAACCTACCTTGAGCATCTGTTTGCTTTTGACCAAATGAGTGATGAGGTGCCCCTAACTGATGACATCAATAGGGAAAAAGCATCGCTCCTTTAGTGGTTAATTAAGGATCTAACATATATTTGAATATTAGGCCATGGTACAAATTCGATTTTCGACAACATTAAATGCAAATAATCTCATGTTTAGGCATCTTCCCGGGTTTAGAACTAAGTCTTATTCATTCACAATTTTTGTCAGATATTTCACGGATCGATGTTTATGGAATCAAGGTGGGCTTTATCGTTGTTAAAGTAAAAAAATAAACCCATTTAAAAGAATTAGAATCAATGCGTGATTGACAATTTTAAAATTACAGTTTTTCTAATTGAAAGTATGTTAAACTGAATTAGCACATAATCATTTTACCATTATTTGAGTCTAAATGCTTGGAACTCAGATTAACATTATAGTCTTTTATTAACGATCAAAATTCAGTATGATAAATAACCTTTTTACAGTTGGCTCTGCCAACAGATTAGAAAGTCTATTGGGAACTTATTCTCCTTTGCATCATCATGTTTGCAGCAAATCCCACCCCTTTTTGCGTGACCTAGATACGTAGACGGTTCTTATACCAAAGCCCCTCAATTTGCGGTCGAGTACACGTACTTTCTCTTTGCTTGACAGCAATCTGAAACTTTTGGTTGATATCTATGAGTGGCCTTTGACGAGAAAGGGCGTAATCGCTTCCCGATTACAATAATAATGCCCATGGAAAGTCTTCGTGGGGGGTTAGGTCAAGTGCACCCCGGATCAACTAGGGTAGGCATCATCGTCAATTGGAGATGAACTTGCTTTGGGTCCCGCATGTGATTCTATACACACGGTGCATTCTTCAATCCTAGCTGTTTTCCCGATAAAAGGTCTATGTGCTAAGACATTTTCCCAAAAATTGGAAGGTCTAGTTCTTCACGTAAAGAAAGATGGTCACAAAGTAGAAGTTTAACTAAAGCATTTCGTTTTGGCACGTTCTACTTAGGTTGCATATATATTACAAGTATCTAATTAGTTAATTTTTACGTTAGATATAGGTGTAACGTACTCACTAAATGGTGAATTTGATCATTGCCATTGTAGTCGTCTATTACGATTCATTGTGACTAATCATAAATTTATTTGGACCCCAATTCCATGTTTGTGCAATGTATATTCTTTCTCTTTTACTAACTAAAGCCCTTGATTAAATTGTTATCCAACTTTTGAGCAGGTGATCAAGAAGCCAAAGAAGAGAACTCATCCCACCCGATAAGCACCATCACCAATAATCAGGCAACACTAGCCCCTAAACCCATGAACTTCAGGCGGTGGATTAGAGTGGCTCTTTACTCACTCTTTGTGCTCTCTGGCCAATCGGTGGCCACACTCCTTGGGAGGCTCTACTACAACAAAGGAGGCCACAGCAAGTGGCTTGCCACACTTGTCCAGCTTGTGGGCTTCCCAATCCTCCTCCTCCTCTACTTCATCCCCACACCCAAACAACCAAGTGACCCTAATAACCCACACATCCAAACAGATGCACAAGCTCCGTCTCAATCACAATCACCCCCTCTCAAGAGCCTTGCCCTTGTGTACCTCTCTCTAGGGACAACTGTGGCCTTAAATTGCTATTTATACTCAATTGGTCTCTTGTACCTTCCTGTCTCCACCTACTCCCTCATTTGCTCCTCCCAATTGGCCTTCAATGCCTTCTTCTCCTTCTTCTTAAATTCCCAAAAGTTCACCCCCTACATCACCAACTCTCTATTCCTCCTGACAATCTCCTCAACCCTCCTTGTGTTCCAATCAAATTCAGACGACCCCAAGGGGGCCTCCGGAGGGAAATATGCACTAGGGTTTGTGTGCACCATCGGGGCATCAGCGGGTTATGGGCTTCTCCTATCCTTGACCCAACTTTGCTTTAGGAGGGTCATAAGGAAGGAGACGTTTAGGGCAGTTTTGGACATGATTGTTTACCAATCTTTAGTGTCTAGTGTGATTATTTTGGTGGGACTTTTCGTGAGTGGTGAGTGGGAGCATTTGGGGAGAGAGATGGATGGTTTTGAGCTTGGGAAGGTGAGGTATGTGATGAACTTGGTCTGGACGGCAATCGCTTGGCAAGTGTTTATGATCGGCATGGTCGGGTTGATTTTCGAAGTGTCATCTTTGTTCTCGAACTCGATTAGTGCAGTGGGGTTGCCGATTGTGCCCATTCTAGCTGTCGCGTTCTTTGGGGAGAGGATGGAAGGCGTCAAGGTGATTGCTATGATCTTGGCCGTTTGGGGTTTCATTTCTTATGCGTACCAACATTATTTGGAGGATGCCCAGCCGAAGGCTCAAAGGAAGATTATTGGTGGGGATGAGGTCAGTGTGAGATCGCCGCTTAATGCTCCAATTGCAAGAGTTGGTGGATGATTAAAGATGGTGGAATGTTCTAGTTTGTGTTTAGCCAAGTTCAATCAGAGTGCGAGGTGATTTATTGCTGCAACCATTTGGAGGAAAAGAAGAAGGAACGGAATAAGAAGATTGACGACAATGTTGTTATTATTTAATTTCTACGCTGTATTTAGTACAAGAAAGGGCAACTTGTCTTTAGTACCCACTTCACAATCTCATTATGCAAGTTGGGTACTTGTATGATATTTGACTAATGATGCAAATTAATGGTGTATAGTGGGATTATATTATTATACATGAGACAGAAGAGATACTCAAATTGCTTCATAGACACAAACAAATAAGAGTTGACTAAAGTCTTGTCAAGTTGTCTCCAATTCTTTTTATTTCGTTGTGCTACTTAGTACTAGGTGGAAAAGGTTTTTGAGCATTTTCACTAGCAGACAAGTCCCACGTGTCTTTGCGATTGATTGGACACACAACTTCTATGGATTTGTTGAAATCAACAGACAAGGTTTTTGGGCATTTTCAGAAACAAATACTCTCGGAAAATATCAAATGCGCTCCTCATCTTTCATCCCAACACAAAGCCTCCCAACCGAAACGACAATTACTGCCTCTTGGAAAACACCAAGCACACAAAACCTAAGCCCCAAATCGCAATACTATACTTCCCACAAGCGGCCAATGCATATAGCCTAGACCGTCCATCCACCACCAGCCGCCGCCATTGAACGCCACCCTGCAACCTCCGAAGGTCGTCAATGGTCATCCGGCTCTGCCGCAGTCACTCCCACCGCCACCCTCAACCGAGCAAACCCTTTGATCTCTAGTTTTCTTTTTCTATTCATACATTGTCTTTCTTTCCCTCTTGGGTGCATTTGTTTTAGGGAAAGTATTTTTCGAAAATCCGTTTTCCGGACTTTCATCCGTTTAGTTCGCCGAAAATAATAAGTCAACCGAAAACACTTTCTGGTCAATGAAAACATTCATATAGAAAATTAGGAAAGTGAATTCCCTAATCTAAGAAGTTGAAACACTTTCCAAAACTGCTCATCTTGAATTTGTCAATATTTTATAGTTTCTTTTCTTAACTTTTATATTTTCTTTCTTTCTTTCTTTTCGTTTTTCTTTTTCTTTTCTTTCTTTTTATTTTTCCTTCTACCTACCACCGCCAGTCGCCGGCCTTTGCGATAGCTGGCGATCGGCCACAAGCACGGGCCAGCGACGACCGACCTCAGGCGAGGCCGAGCTCGCCAGATCTCGGTGAGCTAGAGCCTCGCCAATCTCGCCGTGGCGATGTCGGGCCTCGCCTGAAGCCGGCGAGCTCGAGTCTCACCTGGATCTGGCGAGCTCAAGCTTGCGGGCCACGAGCAAGGTCCAACGTCGCCATATCCGACAAGCCGGAGCTTTGTCAAGGCCGGCGAGCTTGCGGATCACCAGATCTAGGCGAGCCCGAGCTCGAGCTCGCTGGCCCGTCGCGGCGGAGGAAGAGGAAAAAAAAGGAAAGAAAAGAAAAGAGAAAAAGAAAAATAATTAAAAAAATCGAATTTTCTAAAAAAAGAAAAAGAAAAAATGATTAAAAATTGGATTTAAAAAAATATATAATTCGAAATTATTTTTAGATAAAAAACAAAAAAAATTCTATTTTTATTTTTACCCAAGATAAAGTCATGAGATTAAAATCATTTTCCAAATAATATCCAAACCCCAGAAAACGTTTTCGATTACACATTACCAAACAAAAGAAAACTAACTGCTTTTCTGAAAAATGAATTCCTGGAAACATTTTCCAAAAACGTTACGTTTTCCGTGAAACAAACGCACCCTCCGTTTGTTTCACGGAAAAATGAATAATTTTAAAAAAATATTTTTCTTTAAAATGATCGCTTGTATGACTTGAAATAATTAATTAATGAGAAATGTTCTCATTATCGATAACATTATATGTTTAAATATTTTGTGAAATGAAGAAAATCACTCATTCTTGTGAGCGAAACAAACGATTATTTTTAAGAAAATATTTTTCAGATTATTCATTGTCCGCAAAACAGACGAAGCCTAACTCTATTCCTCTCTTCGTCATAGCCCCATGACAGCATTGAGCTGGCCACCTCTTTCGGCAGAGGCATCGAACCTTGAGAGAGACTCGACGCACTACAAAAAAACATCGGATTAGCGACGAAATTTGCGACGGAATTTTTCCGTCGCTACTAGGTCGTCGCAAAATTTTGCGACGGAAAATTCACAAGTTCGTCGCAAATTTGCGACGAAAAAAAATTCGTCGCAAAATTCGTCGCAAATTTGCGACGGCACATAATCCGACGCAAAATTAGTCGCAAATATTCCGTCGCAAATTTGCGACGGAAAAACGTCCGTCGCAAAATTCGTCGCAAATATCCGTCGCAAATTCGTCGCAAATTTCGTCGCAAATTTCCGACGAACTTGATCCGTCGCAAAATTCGTCGCAAAAATCCGTCGCAATTTCGTTGCAAATTTCGTCGCAAATTTGCGACGCACGTTTGTCCGTCGCAATATTCGTCGCAAAAATCCGTCGCAATTTCGTCGCAAATTTGCAACGAACATTTGTCCATCGCAAAATTCGTCGCAAAAATCCGTCGCAATTTCACCGCAAATTTCATCGTAAATTTGCCACGAACGTTTGTCCGTCGCAAAATTCGTCGCAAAAGTCCGTCGCAAATTTCGTCGCAAATTTGCCACGAACGTTTGTCCGTCGCAAAATTCGTCGCAAAAATTCGTCGCAAATTTCTTCGCAAATTTGCGACGACTCTGTCCATCGCAAAATTCGTCGCAAAAATCAGTCGCAATTTCGTTGCAATTTCGTCAGAAAATTCGTCGCGAATTTCGTCAGAAAATTCGTCGCGAATTTCGTCAGAAAATTCGTCGCGAATTTCGTCGCAAATTAGTGACAAACTTTAATGATAGCAAAATTCGGCTTAAAATATTCGTCGCTATTTTTATATCATTTCGACCATAAATTCTTGTCCATATCAATCAAAGGAGACAATGACATATAATTGAAACAAAAAAACGAACAAATCATAAATTCTGACAAACCAGCCACAATGACATATAATTAAAACAAATAACAGAAGGAAAGTTGTTGAGTCTGACATGATACTATTTGATATCCAATATTACAATACAGTCAAAACATGAACTAAGAGACAGGACAACCATAGAAGACGCAAAAAAACCATACAGAAGAAGACGCAGATTTGGTACGATGGCAGGACACTAAAAGTAGTTACTTTTGTCGAGACCTGAGGAAATGTCGATACATAAATCAATCCAGAATATAAAAAAAGCGTTTATGCATGGATATGGAACTAGGTGTAAAATAACAAAAGGGTTAACAAAAATACGTTTCGGGACGAACATAAATGTTCTTACATATGAATATGAGTGAAATTATGAAAAACTAAGATTATGAAGCAAGCTTACCCCCGATTTTGAGAATTTTAACTAGAAAGACCGGAGAAAATCTTCATCATCATCATCATCATCAGCATTCTCGGCATCAATGTGTTGGTCATCATTGTACCCATCACCTACTGGATTGGCTGGAGGTACAGGAGGATCGGCATTGCGATTGATGTTAAGGTGTTGCATAACGATTCTCATTTGTTCTTCCAAGTTATATATTCGTTCATCCTTCTTAACAAGTAAATTATTCAGACGATTCACTTCTTGGGTCAATTGCTCGTCTCCTCGTGACCTCCTTCGACCAGTCCTAGTGGATGATGAACTTCTAGGACTATTCGGCATGTACATCCTTGATAATGATCCCATCCCAAATATTTTCCCTTTTTTCGCCTCACCCGTTGCCTCCATCCATAATGCCATATTATCAACTGGTGGCCGGGACTCAGGACAATCATCACTACCACTAGCACTGCTCATTAAAAGTTCATCATATTTTTTCTACATTAACAATGTAGATGAAAATAAAATCACTATATATATATATCTACCAAAAATATTGAAAGCATTCACGATTTTCATTATAGTTTACATATAAGCCAAAGTATAACCTTACATACCTTAATGACTTTTGCTCGATCGCCAGTCCATGTCTTATCTTTCTTTTGAAATGTGCGTTCAAATGTAGCTGCAAATGTCGGTTCCGTCCCCAACTGGGATGCCTACAAAATGTAAACATGAGTAATTGAATTAAATTAACTTATAACTCATTTAAGACTTACGGCCGTTTGCGATGCTCCGCAATGTTGATAGAGCCCCCAAAGATATATGGGCGACCCATCACTAGAACTAGAAGATCGATTCTTCTTATTCTGCTCACAGAGTTGCTGACTCTGTTCAGATGCCTAAAATGTGTTAATTGCCTCCCAATTGTCAGCTGTAAAGAAAGACGGCTTCGCTTGCTTGCTCTTCGCTCTATTCATGACATTTCGCATAAAATCACTTGTTTTCTTATCGAAAATTCTTCTCACTTCATTGTCTTCCGCTTCCTCCCACTTTAACTTCCGCTGCAATGAATAAAAACACAAATTGAAAATTATTATGATGATTACATATCCATAACCATGCACCAGACAAATATAGACAGATTTTGTAAAGTTCATGTTGGGGAAAATATCTCGTCCTTTAGGTATCGAAAACTACAGAGTTGTTCTGGTCCCTTTACATCATTCTTGACCATTAATATACTACACCACACTTAATTGGTGAGAAAATGAAATATGTAAAACTTACCTTGAACTCATTCCACCACATTTCTTTCACTTCTTGTGGAACATTTCTGTAAGTAATATACTCTCCCATCCAAAAGTTTCTTACTATTTTGTTCAATTCCCTCACAACAGACGGAGCATCCGTGAATCTGCATTCATATGAATATTGTGCAACATGGACAATTCATTTGACATCAATATCTAAAGCCCTAAATATTACATATACTAAAATAAAAATGAAGTACTTACGAATCTCCAAATGGGCATATGAAGAATCGGTTATCTTCTTGACCTCTGTTTCCGTCAATATTCGATTGTTCTGCCGAATAATGGGGTGGAACGGAAGGAGAGGGAGCTAAAGGAGATTGAACTGGAGAACGTTCAGTTCGCATGTAGCCAAGTCCCATAACATGTTGTTGAGTGTTGGAGGAAGGGCCAACGTGTCCATATTGTGACGGACCATACTGTGGTTGAGGGTTAGATGCCGGGACAGGGGAAGAGGAAAGGGACGGGGACGAGGACGAGGAAGAGCCTTGTCTTCTAGGCATGTGACCTCCACGTTTAAACTGACAAGTAGGAAGGTTATGCGAATATGTAAAGAACTATTGACAC